TAGACCATGATAGTATTTGTAGACAAGAGAATGAGATGTAACCTTATAATGATGTGGCATCATTGTAAGATCGAAAGACTCAGGTTTAAAGTTATAGCAGGCTCAACAACATTTACAATGTTTTTGAATCTTGTTTAAAAAAAATTTCTTTTAAAGGTTAATAAGAGGTTTATAGAACTAGAGAATAGAATTAGAAGTATGGAATTAGCAACCATCATAAAGTGAGGCTACCTTATCAGATGCTAAGTTTGCAATGATTGTATTCAGTTCAGAAACTGAGAAAAAGCTAGGTTCAGTGGCAACACATAAATTAAGGAGTGAGGGTATTTGATTAGGGTTATCTGGAAGATAAAGTTAACTATCTGAGTAACAGAATAAAAAATGCTAAAATCTTTACCTCTTAGAGCTAGTCAGTGGTACTAGAGCCAAGCAGTTCGGTATAATGAGCAATTAAGTCATGGATAACAACAATATTGGCTGAAGGATAAAGAGAAATGGTTCAATTAAATTGATCAAATACAACATTAAAAATAATGCACTCTTAAAAATAAAAAGAACGATAAAGAACAAAAAGAAAAAGTGAACAGGTACTAAGCAAAAGCACATAAAAGAATAGTTGGAGGATTCACACCTAAATTTGCAACAAGTAGATGAGTTGATACATAAGTATATAACCAAGTATATGTAACCAGTGGAGTAATTATTAATCATAAATTAATCATTAAAAAAAACTTCATAAATCCTGATAGTTGCACAATAGCCATTAACTCTAATATCCAAAAATGAAAGAGCCAGATTTTAGTTAGTCTTACAAAGCACCTGGATTTTAGTTAGTTTTACAAAGAGTGTCAAATACAAATTTGGCAAAATGTTAGATTCAACAGATAAAAATTTATTTTAAAGACCATGAATATTTGGATAGAAACTTATTGGTGGTCGTGATGAGTTTTTTTATTATTATGTTCTGGTGCTTAATTATGTTATTTAACAGTTGAAGAACCTGACACAATCATATAAAATGTATGATACCCTAAGATAGTGCATGACACCCTAAGTAGTATACTATGCAGTTACCTCTTTCTTGCTATTTAACCCTAAGTTGTAACAAAAGCTTTTTTATGTGCCCTCAATAGTGCACTAGCGGAGACACATTCCATGTACAAAATGGCACTTTTAATATTATGATGTTTTATAGCTTTTGATGAATACTGACTCTCTGAGAGCTGCCAAAGAGTTTGGGAAGCCCTACTCTCAGTTGACCTTTTAGAGATGTACCCACAGGAGACAACAGAAAAAGCTGTAAAGTCACTATTTCATGAAAAAGACATGCATGGCTGGTCAACAAATTTTCTGCTTACCCCTAAATTCTTTGACTAGGTGTCTTTTACTAAATAGTAGGAGTGTGCAGTTAACATCTGCCATAATGAGTATTTCTATTGAGACACTATCTTTAGCTTTTACTCAACCCAAATCCCTAAAACAGGAAATATATACATAATATATGTATATTATATATATATATATATATATATATATATATATATATATATATATATATATATATATATATATATATATATTAACCATCTGAATTAGGAAGAATGAGGTAAACAAAAATTTGCTGACCTCAATCTTTAAGAAGTCGGCATCAGGTCGGCAAAAAAAATTTGATACTTGATTTGATATTTTATGGTATCAAATACAATTTGATACCATAAAATATATAAGCGAGGTCGGTAATTTGTTATATATGTATATATATATATATATATATATATATATATATATATATATATATATATATATATATATATATATATTTTATATATATACATATATATATATAAATATATATATATATATATATATATATATATATATATATATATATATATATATATATATATATATATATATATATATATATATATATATATATATATATATATATATATATATATATATATATATATATCAGGCCTTGTGATGAATAAAAACTGCGCGACACATAAGCACGACGTGATTTTTGACGTCATTAAATTCTTTTTATTTGCTTTTTATGATTATTGACATTAACTGCACAAATTTACTTAATTACAGCAAAACTACTTTAAATCATTAATTGTAGAAATGTTATTATTTTAAAATCTTTTGGAATGTTTTGTTTTTTAAAATGTAAAAACATTTGTTTATTTTCTCGACATTTGACACGTTTTGTCTATACTAAACGAATAAAAAACATAACTAAACATTTAAAAAAGTTTATAAAATATGCTAATATTTGATTTTTTTTTTCTCAAATAAAAAGTAATTTAAAGTTTTTCAAATAATCATTTTTTCTTTTTAAAAAGTTAGCGAGTAATAAACTGGAAATTTTAATATTGTGCGATTAAAAACTATGCAATAGTTAATATTTTTACCAGCGATTTTATATAATATTTTTTTATTTATTTATTTTTATTTATTTTCGTAAAGCGGTTGATAAGCACAATCACACGTATTAATAAAAAACTTTAAGAAACGTTTTGAATAGATTTTTAATGTTTACAATGAATTTTATTTCTAGTAAAATAAGTAAAAGAGTTTCTGTAACTTTTAACAAAAAAGCGATTGTTATTATTTAAGTGATTTTTTTTTGAGTTACTTTTTACAAAAATTTTAATAACTGTACTTTTTTATTGAATCAAGTAGAATACGTTTTAATATTAATCCTTTTATTTTTTTTTAATTGCGCTTACCAATTTTTGAAATGTTTTCTCAAAATTACTCTTAAATACTTTAAATACGTCAAACAGTTAATAAATACTTTTAAATCTATGGAATACTTTTAAAACCTAACAAAGCCCCCGTAAAATAATTATTTAAGTTAAAAATCTAAAACTAAAAGAAAGTAATTTTGTTCAATTTTATCGACAACTTTGCTATTGCTGAATAATTTTATTAAAATGTTAGCTTAAAAAGATTAAAACTTTTTTTTTAATCTGAATTTTTTCTAGTTGTAAATAATGAGCATATTTAATTTTAATCAAACTTTTATATCAACTGCGTGCGGTTTTTAAAATACTTTTTTAAATGTTAAAACACTTTATTAAATGTTAAAACAATCGTAAGTTACTTCATTAAAATTCTGCTCAAAAATATCTTTAAACATACTCAAACAAAAATTTTTTTGCTCGACGCAAATAGCCCTAGCTACACGCAAAATCGCTCTTGGACGACGTAAAATTCACATCGCCCGACGCTTTATCGCAAGGCCTGATATATATATATATATATATATATATATATATATATATATATATATATATATATATTATATATATATATATATATATATATATATATATATATATATATATATATATATATATATATATATATATTATATATATATATATATATATATATATATATATATATATATATATATTTGGTCCATGTATAATTAGAACATTTTTAAACCAGTCACAGCACTTCTGTGTCCAACATCGGTTGTCACACATAACTTTATTTTCTTGATAATAAAATTTTTTTAAATATTTAATTTTATCACTATTAAAATTACTATAAACCTTGTAATTTATGTAGATTTTATATAATCAGGTACTTTTAAGATGATTAGATAAGTACTTTACTCCCATGGTATTACTATTTTACAGCCCCTGGTATTACCAGGTTCAACTTGTTTTTCTACACAGTGAAATCCTCGTTGTCTGAATTTTAGGTTTAAAGGTTAAGAGAAAGTTGTAACGGAAATCAAAAAAAAAAATAAAAAATAAGGAAGGTGAATATGGTAAAGATATTTTTAGGTGGCATCAAATGAATATGTTTTTATAGTTGTTTTTTAATATTTCTTCAAAACTGTTGATTATTTTCTGTTTTTGTGACTATGTTTGGTTGTGTAGTATTGTTTAAATTTTTGGAATGCAAAAATTTCAATTTCATCTGAAAATTGTTAAAATTATTATCAGCAAAATATTGAATAAAAGTCTAGCTGAAACTAATTTATGTTAAAGCCCCATTGTGATAAACGTTTTGTTGTTTAGAGTAAAAACAATATAAGAACTTTAGAAACAAAGGTGGTTCTACTGAGCTGTGCACAGTGGGATCTAGGATGGACAAAAGTAATTTTTGTTTAAATGGTTTTTTACATGGTGGATTCAAAAGCTAACACACCCAATAATTATATGTTAAAGTATCAAAAATTTTAAAAAATATCATTGATGAGATATTTAGATACAAAGTTGAAATTTTTGGACATACATGTACTTCATGAGGATTTTTATGGATGATGTTTTGACCAATTTATATAGAATTATTTTAAATTTTTCCTCAGACATATATACATTTACGGAAAGGTCTATAAGACTATTGTTAGACATTTAAAGTTTTTTTTATAAAAAATTGAATGTAGTTGTTAAAGTAGGGCAAAAATATATTTTTTAACTTTAGTGGAGCCAGAAAAGTGATATACAATTGTTTAAATGGTCATCTCACCATTTACTGTTACTAAATTTGCTTTTAAAAAATTTAGTGAAAGATGAAGCAGCACATATTTGTTACTTTTTTGAAATATTTGTTTTTTATTGATGCAAGGTCTTTGTAGCATATCTTTTATGCATCTGTAATCAGTGGTGGATGCAGAAAGTTTTAGATATGGCAATTTCAGACATTGTCAAATCTCCTAATTTAAGTATGTTTATGCTTATCAAATGTCAAATAAAAATATTTTGCAAAATAAAAAAGTGACTGAGAACAAAAATACTTCAACAGGTTTACCTTGCTCATATGAGAGAGCAATTAATTAAATATTTTAATTTATTATCTTCTACTTTATTCTAACCAACTGGTTTTAAATTTCATTTAATAATCTTTAAGTATTTGAATGTTGTAACCATGTAAAGTTTACAACCTCTTTATTTTGTTAGGAGTGAAAACTTTACATGTTCAAAATTTTTTGAACACTTAAAGATAATTTTTAGATAAAATATGAAACATGACAATAAATTTGAATTCAGTATGAATAGTAAATGAAATATTTTTTTAAAACTTGTTTCTCTCGCTTTTGTGCTAGGGGTGAATCTTTTGGGATATTTTTGTTCCCAGGCTCATCAGATCTAATTATAAGTTTATTTTTTTTAACTATAAGATCTAAGAATAAAACATAATCTTCCAAAAGAACTTACTGACCTTTTATACTAAAAAAAATTGACATTAATATAACCAACAACAAAAATGATGATGAACATCAAATGATGACATCAATATTGATCACTTTAATTAAAAATTTAATATAGATGTAGAGGTTGATGATTAGAATAAGAAAAATTTAATATAGATGTAGAGGTTGATGATGATTAGAATAAGAAATTATAATAAAGCAAATTTTCTTTATTTGAAAAAAAAATAACTTCAAAAATATTTGCAAATATATCTCTCTCTCAACAAAATTGAAAAGAAAATTAAGTGAAAATCGGACTAAAAAATTAAAAAATTATTATTACAGTCACTGATATAATAAAAAGTTTTCAGTGTAAACAGGCTTCAAAAATCGTTAATCTAGTAAATCCGGATATGTTGAAAATGAGCTTTTGGATTATTTCTCGCCAAAGTATAAAACCTATACTAGCATATTAAATCCTATTAAAATAATGATAAAACAACTGTTAAAAAAAGCAGATTTTACCTTAAGCCATGCTAGAATTAAATAGTTTTATGCATGTTTTGTAAAAAATAATTGTTTGAATTTATAAATGGAAATTTTTTATAAAAAATATTAATATTGTAACATGGCACCTTATATTTTAACTTTTGTCCCCCCCTCCCCCATTCTTTCCTTGTATTAAGGACTCAAGAGTAACTATAATAAAAACAAGTTCATTTTAAAAATTTATTAAAAGAATGTTTTATTTAATCAAGTTAAATGTTCATTTTGATGATGTGTTTTTTAAAGTTTCGATTCCAGGTCAAGCCTCACTCTTTTCCAGGTCCAGCCTCACTCGATTCCAGGTCAAGCCTCACTCTTCTCCATTTTCCTCGCATTGTACGGCTGCAATTGCCAATCGAAACCATTACTTCCTTATCTATTAGCAAAACAATTCTCCAGAAAACAGATGTCTGCTTATTACTGCTAGGAACCATTGTAAAAAGGTTTTGTCTAATGCCAAAGCCCGCTATTCTCAGATCATGAAATCTCGTATTTCATCACAAAAGTTAGGCTCTCGTGACTTCTAGAGAATCTTTAATAGTATCAATAAAAAGGGCAAGTCTGTAATTCCCCCTCTTTTGTATGGTTCAGACTTTGTCACCTCACCTAAAGACAAAGCTGAATTGTTTGCTAAGAACTTTTCATCAATATTACCTCTTGACTCCACTAGTTGCACTCTACCTGATATAGCCATCAAACAGGTTGATCCATTGCTTGACATCCATATCACTCCAGCTTCTGTATCTAAAGTGATTTCCTGCTTAGACTTTCTACAGCTTGTGGCCCGGACAACATACCTGTTATAGTCTTGCAAAAGTGTTCTTCGGAGCTGTCGTCTATCCTTTCAAAACTATTTAACAAGTGCTTATCAGAGTCTTGTTTTCCAGCCTGCTGGAAAACAAGACTCTGATAAGCACTTGTTAAATGAAAGCAGCATCTGTTATCCCTAGTTTTAAAAATTCTGGAGAGCCATCCGATTCATCTAACTACCGTCCCATTAGTCTTCTTCCTATCATAAGCAAGGTTTTTGAATCTTTAATTAACAAACACTTTATCTCTCATCTTGAATCTCATAACCTACTTTCTGATCATCAATATGGATTTTGATCTTCTCGTTCTACGGCTGATTTGCTAACAGTAATAGCCAATAGGTTTTATCGTGCATTAGATAAAAGTGGAGAGGTTAGGGCCATTACACATTTCTAAAGCGTTTGATAAAGTTTGGCATGCTGGTCTTCTCCATAAGCTTTCTTCTTACGGTGTATCTGGAAACATTTTTAAGATTATTGAATCCTTTCTTTCTAATCGTAGTATAAAAAGTTGTCCTTGATGGACAGCACTCTACTTCTTATTCTGTAACCTCAGGGGTTCCTTAAAGTTCAATCCTTGGCCCTATACTGTTTTTAATTTACATTAACAATTGTCCAGATATTCTCACATCTAAGGTGGCATTGTTTGCTGATGATACTACCATTTATTCTTGTCATGATAAGAAGCCAACTCCCTCTGATTGCTTGCAGGGGGCATTTGAGCTTGAAAAGGATCTCACTTCAGCTACAGCATGGGGCTCACAGTGGCTAGTGAAATTTAATTCAGATAAAAGGTTTGATATAAGGTTTCTTGGAAACCTTATATCAAATCCGTTGCAAAATTAGCATCTGCTAAAGTTGCATCTCTTTATCGAGCTCGACATTTTCTAACTCTGGATTCTATTCTCTATCTCTATAAATCTCAAATCTGACCTTGTATGGAATACTGTTGCCATATCTGGGGCGGATCTTCTAATGATGCCC